TTATCCTTTAGCAACTAACAAGTAACCTAGAATTTACCACAGACAAAATGGTTGTTTCTTAGTCATTTTTAATAGATAAATGAAGGGGAAATACAATAGATATGGGTATTTTATTGATGTTTTGGAGCTTATCTAAGTTTTCAACTGCTTTCTTCTACTTAAAGTAAAAGGGCGTACAATGAAGATACTCATTTATATAACTTCATAACATGAAACCACCTGAACTATATATAATGTGGATGTAATAAGCCTTCAAGTGGTCCTCTATATGAACCCCCTGTAGAATTACCAAAGAATTCGATTTTGAGACTTTTTGCAAGAGATCAGGTGGATGAAATTGAATATCAGGTAAAGACCCATAGATTATTAAGTACAAAACTTGAAACTTAATTCATAAGGTACTGGTGTTGGAAAGAGTTCAATAGAGGAATGAAACCAGCTTCCATTCATCAAAAATAATTATATACCATTTTGCGCTGTGAATCCTTATAAGTTTCTTCAGGTCTTCTTGGAACTCTTTAGTTAAATTCATGGATCTTCTCATGATAGGCTTTATGAAGTTCAATGCGTAATGTACATAATGGTATACACAACCCAAGAATGGAAACTAAAAAACAAGCAGACTACTCATCTATGTGCACAATTATTCCAACTAAAACATTTCTTTAAATGATAGGTAGAAGTTTCCAAACACTTCGACTAGATGGTTACCACCTAAATCCATGATCTGTATTTCGTTCTCGTCGGGACTCATCAGCCGGAAGTGCCTAAATCCCAGTGAGTGAAAGACGTTTCTTCACTGAGACCCCTCCCAAGCACCCATCGACTCACTAGGCTTCTAGGTCACAACAGCCTCCTATTGGGCAACGGGTATCGGCTTTAATTCACTGTTCCCTGTGGCTTTCACTAGATTCCATTGCCAGACACCACCAATCAAACTGCATCATATTTAACCCTTAGGCAACATCAAGGCATCCACATAGGACCACATATAGTAACAAAGAATGATCGACCTTTATCAACATAACAGTCAATAAATGGTATCACTTATTTTTAGGATCCAGACTTGATTAGCTTGACTGTGCCCGTGAAATTAATTTGTCTTCATTAGAACACTTCTCTCATCAGTCACTCCAGGACAAGCCAAAAGTTGAGTAGTTTGGTTCATCTTTCATGACGTTGTGTCTCTGTAGCGCTCGAACCACTTCCTAGTAAATATAAAGTTATTTCCTGTCTCAATTGTAGTCACTGGGATAGGAGTTGGCAATAGCCGGTTGTAACAAATAAGCAGTATTCTTGTCAGTGATGGCTTAGACATCAAAAAAAGAATCCTAAAGAAATCAATGAAATTCCCTGTATGCCATCTCAAATAGATCCCCTTCTCCTGTATGTCTGATGCTTAAAAATGTGACCGCTCATAGCTTCCCTATGTCAATAAATATTCATATCCTCCCCACTCCACTCTATATTCCTTCGTATCAATCTGCTGTTTATACAAAGTTGAAAGACAGAACTGGAATGAAACTCTGAACGTAGAAGGTAAGTAGAACCCATAAATATAACGTAACTAGACAATACTGTGAAATTCTATTTGTTTCTTACAAAGTCGTATTTAAATGTCTTAAGTCTTTGTATTCGTCCCAAAGCCCACAACCTGATGGTGTCTCGAGTATTATATTTAGAAAATGTGCATATATTTTATGTCATCCTCTTACAGGTATCTTAAATGCTTTGTTTTCCCAAAATCCAATACCCGTTGCTTGGAAGAAGATTCAAGTTGTACCTGTGCCTAAGTCATCTTCCCGATAAGATGTAAAGTCTCCCCACCTATAGCTTTAACTTCCCCTTTTTTGAAGACAATGGAAAAATAACTTCTTGTGTTTGAACCTTCCTTAAAGGTTTTCAGAGATCCAAGGAATTTGCTTACAAACACAGGAGAAATACTTTAAATACTGCCATTTTCTTGAACTATAATATTGTTTTTAGTCTCGATAAAGGTGTTAAGTATGTCCATTGTGCCTTTTTGGATTACTCATTAGCCTTTGACTCTGTTCCTAGATCACTCTTGTTAAATAAGCTTACCATAGCTCATACTGAGCCATGGGTTACAAAGTGGGTGTATTGTTATTTTTCTGAAAGGAAACAGTATAGTTTCTGAAAAAGGAAGCGCTCTACTTCATTGCTTACTGAAGCTGGTGTGCCTTAAAGTGCTTTACTTTCTGCATTTCTATTCTCGTTCTTTTTGCATGATTTACATCATTCTGTTGAAACTAATTTTATTATGTATGCTGGTGACTTGACGGCTTTTATTTCACTTAACTCTTATTTAGATTGCTTTCAATTAAGTGGATTCTTGTATGTAATTTTGACCAACAGTCTCGAGTTAAGCCCTTCTAAATATCTGACTGTTAATTTTAGCCTCATACGTAAAAAAAGCCTTGTGTAAGCTGCTCAAGTCCCATGATGCGTGTTGCATTGGTGGTGTTCCTGCAGAAAATAAATCGAGTGTTAACTATCTTGGATTGAGTTTTACTTATGACATTTGTTGGTCGTCTCATCTTATTGACTTATGAAAAAATCTTTCGTTCAACTTATTACATAGTGAAACTGAGGCTCTGCGGTATAACTCAACCTCCACTTTTACAACTTGCTAGTTCCTGTATTCTATCTATTCTTCTTTATTGCTCCCTGTTGATCTTTGCTGGTCTTATAGAAAAAAAGCCTGTGTTATATTATGTAGGGTTTTGAAAGGCATCAGTAGGGTAGGTGATGTGCCTCTTGCTCAAGTGATTAACACTGTAGTTGACAGACATTTAAATTCTAGTAGGCGACTAGCTACAGTAATTCTAATTGACACTGAGTTTTCTCCTTGTATCTCCTCAAGGAGGACAAGAAGAAACTACATAAGACCGTACAGCTAACTACAAGAATTCAACTGTACCTTAACTCACAGCCGCTTTATGTGAGGAAAAAAGTGTTAGAACAGAACTCACGTATGAGTTTTGTTTGGATTAAAGTGACTATTATTTAAGGATTCAGCATATTTTTCGTCTTCGGTTGTCATAGTTTATCTTTACTCACTAACTGGTGGGTGGAAGCAGAAAAACATAGTAATTTAGTGACAGTAAGATAGTATCGATAGCCTTTACTCTATATACGCAAATACATAATCGGAAACAGTTAGTCCTTTTTATAAATTTCGATGGCGTAATTAGAAGATGAAGTTCATCTGAACAGTGTGATGTATTTGCGCAATGCATTTCATTGAAAGCTATGGGATCTGAATTCCCAAACTTCTATGGATTGCCTAGTATTCATAAAGCTAATAATCCTTTATGCCCTAAATTGTCTATTTTTCGTTTCCCTACACATAAGCTGACGAAATGGTTGGTGACAATGTTTAATCCAGTTCGAAACGAATTCTGTAAGTTTCCACTGAAAGATGCTTTTCAACTTGTTAAATGTCGTAGTAACATGAGTAGCAAAAACAAGACTGTTTTCTTTCGATGTAAACTCTTTATTCACTAATGTGCCGTTGTCCAAGAATATTAACATTCTCTGTGACTACATATCTTCTAGAAACCTCCCATTTCCTATTACTCTAACTTTACTGAGGGAGCTATTATTGCTGTGTACCGACAAAGTTCCTTTCACATTTGAAGGTGAACGCTTTCGACAAATTGACAGTTTAGCTATGGATAGTCCCTTAAGCTCATTACTAGGTGATATTTATGTCATATATCGAAAACCTGGCTGGTGATCTCATCGTTTAAGTCTCTCTTTACAAGAGATATGTTGATAACATTACAGTGATTTGTGAGAGGCATGAGGATATGGCTTGTCTACTAAAAAGACTGATCAAGCTCACATCAGCCTGACTTATGAGAAGGAGAAAATTAACCATCCGCCATTGTTAGACGTACTCCTGAGTCGACGAGATGGTTCAATAAAACAGCCAATTTATAGAAAGGCTACATGGACAGGACAATACCTGAATTTTCAGTTTTTGTCTAATCCAGTACAAGCGAGGTCGAATAAAATGCCTGTTTAATAGGATCTATCGTATCATTATATCAGATACGATGGATGAAGATGTCAAGTTACTGACCAAAACGCTTATGAAAAATGGATATCCGCTGAAACATATAAACCGTTGTAGAGGCCAAGTAGTACCAAATCACACTCGATACACGGTTCCTGAGAAAAGCGTCCACACCACTCTGCCATACAGAGTGATGTGGAATAGTATACTTTCAGACGTAGGCTAAAATCAGCCATTAAGAAAAACATTAATCAGCTAGTCTTATCATTGTAGAAAAGACAACCAGCATGCTGCATTACAAACCTAAAAGCCGAATCAATGGTTACATCACTTCCCACTGTGTTCACCGGTTTACGTGTGTGTGTGTGTGTGCTGTAGTCGCACATACATAGGGAGGCGTAATCGAGCTATACAGTTGAGGGTGAGAGAACGTGTACCTAAGTGGTTTCAAAAACAAATGGTGTGAAACTCTGATAAACACTGGTGGGAGACAACCCTCTTCATCAACAGTCAAACATATCATAGAAACAGATCACAAAATTAATGTTCAAACAGATTCCAAAGTTTTATATAGAAACAGTCAGGGATGTATACTGAGATTCGCGGAAGCAACAGCCATACACACATTTAAACCACGCTATGCATACGAACACAATTCCTACCTACACTACACCTACCTTGGTAAGCTTTGTTCTATTACCAAGATGAGGATCAACTATGTCACTTCCTGTTTGTTCGCGTCTTTCTTAATTTTAATCCCCTGCTTATCTTAATTGTTGTATTTGTCCTCTCACTCTTCGATTTAATATATATTGACTTGACAAGTAAATATGTATGTGATCAGATTGTTCGAAATGTATTGCGCAAATACACCACACACATTGTTCAAATAAACTTCGTCTTCTGATTACGCTATCGAAGTACATAGTCGATTATATGAAAATGTATGAGGCTGTTAGGCAAATACCTCAAATTTGATTGAGTCTGGAATGCATTCATGTAGGACCGATTCATAAGAAGGCAGAAAAAACTTTTATTTGGTAATGTTTTCGATATTATGTATCTGTCTCTCCTTGTCATAAAAAAGATATTTTCAGCCAAATACTGAAGTTATAAAGAAATAAGGAGAACGTTTGTACAATAAAAACAAGTAATATACTACTTAAATTTCTGAGTCTTGTTGGTCATTACTTTGGTAACGTTTAATTTGTCTTTCACTACGTACTAAATTATCCCCACTATTTTCACTATAACTGTAATCACTGAACTTCTCCTCCATAGATGCTGGTGCTTCCAAGTTGGAATTCATTTGACTTTGTTGTTCTGCTAGGTAAAGTGTAGACTTATCATCTTGTGTAGATTTCACAGGGACAACTTCTTCTGGCCAATGGCTTTTGATTAACTTCCATCGACGACGAGTTTTCACCTTAGTACTCATTGGAAATTCTAGAACCCAATTTTCAATATCACGACGCAATTCTCGACCAATTAGACCGAATGAAATAGCTGAAAGTAAAGCAGAGAAACCAGAGAGAATAGCAAATCCATAAGACCATGATGGCCAATTCAAGGTTGGATATGGCATCCATGTTTCTGTTTGATAATTTATGCCAAACACAGTTGTAGAAATGAACAAAAGAATTGCTGGAAGGAAAAAAAAGGATTCCTTAGTAATTAAGTAGGAAGTTATAAGCTCTAGTTTATACACAACTTCGAGGAAAATGAAATCTGGTGCCAAATTATACAATATAACAACACTATAACGAAAAGATGCGTGGATAAAATTAACATAGAACCTTGCACACAAGTACAGTGGTTCAAGTTGACACACTTCCCAGTAGCATGGAAAAAACAAGTGGACAGAAAAACATTGATGTCAAAGTAGAAAAAGTTGTATGAGGGGAGGAATCCGAAAATGAAGTTCAGAAGACATCAAAGAGTAAATACATCTACTCTGTTGTGACCGATTTACTGTTATTCCACCAAGAATCGTTAACCATTGCTTCCTGTTTTCTCTAGGACCGCAGTCAGGTAGTTTACATCTCCTTACACAGCCAAGACCAACAGTTGGAGATTTCACTGACTGGTGCTACGTCATATTCTGGCCACCCTGAGCCTTCTTTCAACCCAATCCTATTTCGGTTAACATTATACATCAAGGTAGGTGGTTTCTCGGGATGTCTCAATATGAGTTTGTTTCTGAACCCTATCTGGTAATCCTTAAGAGCCTCACTCCGACAACAGATGCTAATTCACAATATCTATCCTTCATCCTATGACGTCAGATGAATTCATCCCACTTTCCATCTTCTTTACTCCAGTTCTAGAGCCAGTGAACACTGGTCGTCATTGGGACAACTTGCCCCAAAAAGTCGGTTTTTCAGGATGATTTTGGTTAGTGAATAATTCATGATCATCATCTTTAAACAAAATTTGCCAAAACTGTAGCGAAAAGTGTTTTCGGACACGCAAAACTCACAGAAGCTAGATCTCACAACGTAGAGTATTCTAACCAAAGCATTGTACACTCCAGTTAGAAGAACTTTGAAGTTTCCGAGATAATTCAGATCGTTGTAAGGCTATGCAACCTTCACTATATGGCCGGAGTTCTCGTCAGACAGATATTCATTGGTAACTATTCAGTAATTTTTGGAGTCATACAGAAGTTATTTACACACGCACATAAATGTGTATAGAAAACACATCATTTTCCGCAAAACGCAACTATTCTCATCAGTTGAAAAAGATAAGGCAAGTATAACAAAGAGGATTTCCTACATCCTGCTCTACTGTTATGGTAATTCGTATGAATTAAGGCGACCTATCAGCTTTCAAATGTCCTTTGGACAATTATCAGATGAGTCATTTCATTGTAAGTCAGATGGAGACCCCATTATCTTGATTTGGTGTACCACTGCACATTAATATACAAATTTAGTTGCTAGTTAAATGACATAAATACTCTTAGTGAGTTAGTCATATCTAGAATAGAAGATAACTGCATACTAGTAGCATTAGTCAGTCAATAATAAAATGGGACTTGCTGATATGATGCAACGGTTCATGTGGAAACACGTCACATCTACACATCAAGATACAAGGTAGCAACACAAAAGGCATCGAAATGGAAAAGATGTAATCATAAGTCGCAGAAACTCATAGGAAGAGAAGATGGAGTAAAACAATGACGAAATGTCATCCGACGATTAGGGTGAAGATAATCTATGAGTGTACCTGCGCTACTTAGGTTAGTTACAGCCACATAGCACAGAGTTCTCAGCCACCGATTCCGTTCGCCACATGGACCCCAACCAGATAGTCTATATGTCTCTTAACGGCTTGCAACAACAGTCACAGACTTCACAAACTTATTTCATGTTTTAGTCAGGCCACCTGTATCCCTTTTAAATCGATTCAGAACAACAGCTTTAGGATAACAGCGTGGATCCGTTTTATTTCGTAGTTTCTCATAAGCTGCTTACAACCTAAAATAATTTTCAACATCAATTTATACAAAATGTTTGCATACTCGAAGGTAACTTACTTAGATGTATCCATAACATAGATTCTCGGGGTGGAATGTATCTTAACTTCAGCAGCTTTTGCCCTATTAGTCATAAGGAAGGGTTGGTGAAAACTTTTCAGTCGCGTAAGACATGTCTCTTAGGAAGGGACATTGGAAGGAAAAACGAATATTGTGGAAAATCGCCTCCGGGATAGCGAATATCCACAGAAACTTATCAACAAGTACAAGATTGCGCCCATTAAAACCGTACGGTGTGATACAGTCGAGAAGAAATCTATTTTCCTAAATCTTGGTTTCAAAGGTGGTGGTGTTTCCTGTAGAATTAATTACAGAGTAACTGCTACCTTGAAAGGACTTATCCAGTTGGCAGGTTGATTGCACTCTGCCGAACGAACTGGTCACTAAGACAACCAAAGGTTCACAAGTCTCCTCTTCATGTTACTCCCAAGTGTATCCATCAATTCACATGTACGTGCCAGAATACATACATTGGACGAATAGAAAAAAGAGATTGTGACTGTATTTCTAAGCATATTCCAAGGAATTTGTGACTGAGAGGTGGAAAAGTTTTCAACAGCGCTATTGCTCGTCGCCTTATTGATAGTGGGCATGACGTCGATATTCAGAAATCGTTCAAAATAGTAACTAACAAACAGATTAAATCGAATTTGTTGCGTTTCACTGAAGTGTTAGCCATTAAACGATTAAAACCAGACCTTATGTGTTCAGAAAGAAACAGTTAACAGTCTGCGCCTACTATGGTAAAGACTTTTGTTTTATGTACAATCATCATGTCTTTTTACATATCATTATGGATTCACACAAGTTGGGTTGTAAGCAGCTGATGAGAAACCACGAAATAAAAATGGACCCATGCTATTCTGCTAAAGCTGTTATTCTTGCTCTATTTAAGTTCGCGAAGAGGAAGAATTGTATGAAATTCAACTTTTTTCCAGGTTTAACCGACTTCAGCTTACATTGCGCATCGGAGCAGACAGTGAGTAGACATGAGCAACACATGTCCAAGCCACGTCGGTTGATGAAGGTCTGCAACCTGACCAACTTACTTCTCTTATCTAAAACTGTACATCTGACTTATAGTTAACCAACATGGTAGTCCCATGGTACAGGACCAAAGTTAAAAAGGCGGTAATGATTTAACACCTGAGGCCTGATCATTTCCTCTACCTTTAATGACCATGTTTCACAATCAAATAATGGAAGCAAACTGCTATTCAGTGCACTTTAGGGCGCTATAGATGGCGTCTGTTGGTGAAAGCCAGTAGGTTGTTATATTTTCACGCAGGGAATTCTTCGGAGCTTAATCTAGCAGAACTAGTTCACCTTCGCAAGTAAAAGAAGTGGTCAACGTACTCAACCAGTTTATTCCTTATCGTAAGAAAATTAAACAACGGTCATACAAGGTCACAAAGTATATGGAGTTAGGAAATCCTCAGCAGTAGACTCGTTGCAAGATTTGGTGAGTCTTGCTTCAAATTCACATGAAATCGAAGTGTCCACTGTCAACGTAATCTGGCATGGGAACTACTGTCAATTTGATCGGTAGGTTACAAACTACACAAGTCAATAATTATCCACTCCTCAATATTGACGTGCTTCCAGATGAATTTCTGAATTATAGAGGGGAAAGCTTGATTAACCAATCAAGGTAACAGTAAGTATGTATGCACAGCGGGAAAATTAAGTGACGGTAAATCATGAAATAAGCTCGAAGGGTATGAAATTCTTGGTTTTTACTTAGGTGCTGAGTGATAACACAACCGTCACGAAATCTGACTGCTTCGAGTTATCTCCTACATGAAAGCCACTTGATGTAATTTTGAGAACCATTAGACTTTAGGCGATGGTTGGATACTCTTGAGAAGTTGAATAAAGACAGATCTAAATTACTAGTTGGTATCGAATGAAAGGCTTTGAAAAATGAGGAAGTACTTGATTAACAATCCATCTTGATGGACGCTTAAGCCCATGGTTTTAAGTTTATTATTCAGGAAAGACTAGCTGAATTTGATAATGTCTAGCATGTCCACTTTCACGGAAATTAAAACACCAAAGTAGTTGTGGATTCGACTGGCCAACCCCTTAGAATACTTTAAGGAACAACGATTCATCTTCACTGGAATGGTTCAAAATATATAACACCTTCAGCTTTGAACTATTGAAGTTAGGATTTGTTACTAAAGGTGATCAAGTGAAATATACTCCATATGATGCCAATAAATACACTGAGATTATCTCTGAAATGAAAGTAGGATAATCCCAACTACCAATATTTTTTTCAAATATTTTGTCCAAACATTATTATTTTGATTATCTAAGATAGCCGTGGTTTGGCAGACTAGTATTTATACTGGGTGATGATTGAAGATGGAACGGAAATTTGGACCACGGCCGCATTCGAAACGGTGACCACTGGGTTTCCGACTCGGTGCTACGAGGTCCGACTGCTGATCAGACTTTCCTATTTCACTTCATCATCAAGGGTTTTGCCCGAGTATTATGTGAATTCGTGATGCGCGGCTACCGCTTGATCGTATTCATACTGGCTTCCAGTGGTCAGGCCTCGTAGCTCAGCTGGTGGAGCACCTGGCCGGAAACCCGGTGATTACTGGTTCAAATCCAACGACCGTCCAATTTCTCATTCCACCTTCAACCATCACCCAGTACTAAACACTATCCACACTTTTAAGCTGTAGTTGCTTATTTTACCTGACTGAGTAGGTCGGTGTCTTGTATTTGAAGTGATGTGCGCTGGATTTGATTCCCAATAGGAAGATCAGCATGAATAAATTCGCATCCAGCTGACCAGCCTGGAAAAGGATGAAATACACCTTAGAGACTCCACTATCAGCCATCATCAAGAAAATAATACCAGCATGCTATCTTTTATTTTAGATGCAATTTTTATCTATTTTCCTTCATGTACTCTGACACTTTGAGAAACAAGTAGCGTGAGCAACTATCTAAGTAGTGAAGTTTTTAGAAAAAAATTTGATAAACAAAGGAAGAGATATGTAAAGAGGACCAAGACTTGTCCAAATGAATGAAGAGATAACTGTGAGTCTGGGAACAAGTGACCTAAAGGGAAACATAAATA